TAGACATAGTGCAGCGAATTAAAATTCAGCGGCTCCGCTGGCTTGGCGATGTCGTTCGGATGGACAGAAATGCTTCTGCTCTGAAAATATTCAACGCGGGCCGCGATGCTGGTAACAGAGGAAGAGGAAGGCCTCCTCTGCGTTGGAAAGACCAGGTGGAGAAGGACTTGGCTTCACTTGGCATTTTCAATTGGCGTCAGTTAGCACAGAAGAGAAATGACTGGCGTGCTGTTTTGGACTCGGCCAAAATCGCTTAGGCGGTTACAGCGCCAATTAAGAAGAAGAAGAAGCAAATGCACCACCACTTCATAGTACCTCAAACGGGCAAGTGGAACGCTTTCATAGCACCCTTTCAGAGATAGCTAGGTGTCTGAAACTTGAAAGAAGTATAAATGATACAGATGACTTAATTTTACTAGCGACTATAGAATATAACAGATCCATTCACACAATAACGAACAAAAAACCAATTGAGATTCTATATGCCGGATCAGTGGAATATTCAGAATCAATTCGAAACCGCATAGAAAAAGCACAAATTGCTGATCGAGAATACCATAACAAAAATCGTCAGTGTAAAACATACAACGCCGGTGACAGGGTCCTTGTAAAGGTTAATAAAAGACTTGGAAATAAGCTTTCAGCACTATACGTGGAAGAAATAATTGAAAAGGACCTAGGCACCACCGTACTTATAAAGGGGAGGAGGGTCCACAAGGACAATCTTCGACCACCTTGACAAAACCTACCTACAAATTAATTCCCACCTTTTACTTACAGGTTGATAGCACTGACGCTTTTCTCGACAACCAACTCGATGGAGAAACTTATGGACTACACTAACGCCGACTACATCCCAATCCTGGACGGGGACATGATACTATGGGAACATTACGGATATCTGACTCACTTTACTAATATATCACTGTACGAAACCATGAATAATGAAGCAAGAAATCTAATCGACTTATTTCCTCAGTCACATATGAGAAAGCTACTAGACGCGGACATAGCACACATCGAAACACTATTACGAACCGTCGACATTCACCATCGACAAGCACGAAGCCTGAACTTTTTAGGTACGACACTGAAGGTAATCGCTGGTACCCCCGACTTCGACGACCACCAAAGGCTACAAATGAGACAGGATATTCTCGTTGATTCGAATAACAAACAATTCAAAATAAACACCCACATTCAGCAAAAAATATTAGAAATCACAGAAAAAATAAATAAAATCATTGCAACTACAAGGAAGGAAGAAATAGATACGGGTCACTTATATGACAATATAATGGCAAGAAATAGAATAATAACCTTTGAGTTACAAGCTGTCACAATATCATTACCATTCGCCAAACTTAATTTGGTGAACTCTGTATTACTAGATAGTAACGAAATAAACAAAATCATCAACGAGCACTCGACCAATGTAATAAAAATAGAAATATTAGGTATATCTAAAATTAAGGTTTTACAAAATAAAAACTATTTGTATTTTGTTATAAAATATCCTATACCCGAATTAGTTTGTAAGAAAGTTAGCTTGTTCGCCGTGTCGCACCAAGGACGAATACTGCACTTCGGAGAAACCAGTACTGTCGCTCAATGCAGAAATAAAACACTAGCTGTTAGTTGCGAAAAATCGACATCTGCTACCTTTTGCAAAACGCTCAACACCACCACCTGCGGGCAACAACTAGTCATGGGGGAGGTGGCAAACTGTTCAACTGTCGCTAACCATGATAAATGTATCAAGGAAATCGATGATGGTATTGTGGTCATCAACAATGCTACAGCAAAAATTGAGGGTGAAAATGGGAACGTTAGAACGGTCAACGGCACCTTTTTGTAGACCTTTGACCAAACAGTAACAGTAAATGGCATCGAATACCGCAATAGAAATAACGCTGCTACCAGGTCACCCGGAACTCCAACAGCGCAAAAAATTAATCTTTTGGGACACATGGAAACGTTAAGCCTTAACTACCTTCAAGAAATGAATGTGGAAAATATCAACCACATCGGTGCCCTGCGAAGAGAGGTTAACTCAAAATTGAATGCTTTCATTATAATAGCAATATCGGTTATAGCCCTCATAGTATTTTGGCTTGCCTTTAGTAAATACAAAAAGCAATCTCAGAAACGTGCAATGAATGTTTTGGTAAGGGAGATCACCGAGAGGATCGCGGACGATCCACACTTAGGAAGGGAGGAGTTAACCCAACACCCTAGCACACAGTCGGCATTCCCAGCTTAACAAGTGCACCGAATATGATACGTGCTAATAATAATAAACAAAGTAACGATCAACGGCTACAAACAGACAACACATAACAAAAGCCGTGTGATCTGCTGACTCAGCATACTCGCAAAGCATAAGCAGACAATTATAGCAAATAATAAGATTGCAAGCGAATGAACGTTGTCGTTGTGTTAAGTTCATTTCTTGATAAATTTGAAGTGGAATTTTTGTAATATTTTCAGTCTTGTACAAAAAATGTTAGTGAACAGACGTGTTGTGCGATACTATTTTCAGCACTAACGAGCTTTTACAAGATATGCATTTGAATATGTAAATGCTACTTGTTTGTATGTCCCCGTATATTAAAATGAATCAGAAAAGTAGCATTTACATATGGGGATACATATCTTGTAAGAATGCTTTAATACTGTTCCCTTAATGCATTTTTGTATGTTTGAAACATTAATACAGCCATATGCATACAGCATACAGCAGTAGTTAAGGTACGCATACGCTCTGAGAAACCACGCGTGTTAAATGGAAATGAAGGTTCATTTATATTGGCATGTATACACAGCAGCAAGCTCATGCCACCAACAGCGATGTCGTATGCTTAAAATTTCTACTGGGGAATTAGGCACACTAACACATTCTTACTTCTAGCGAACGCTTGTATGTGGTAGTGCCCACCTCTGATCATGAGCATCTTATAAATGTATACATAGAAACGTAAGGTTTGGTACCAGCACCTCTTTCGGCAAAAAGAAAAATTTTGGAAGGTGCCACAAACCCTGTCTTGGAAAATTTTTTTTTGGACCACTCTAATGTACATACATACATAAAATTATAGCCGTTTTCGTTGTTCGGACTAAACTCAAAAACCAGTCAAATTGTCGGAGGTTATACCTTGCGTATATGGTCCTATTATGGCCTACTAGACAACACGCTGGTGGCGCTGGAGTAGAGTTACTTATAAAAGTCGTATTTATTAACCGATTTCGTTCAAATTTGCAAAGTTAGCTACCTGTATGATGAAAAATTCGTATCCTAGAAATGAACCCGCTATATTTTATAAAATCTGATTGAAATTCATAATGCGTATTCATTTCATGACAAGCAGTGGTTTTGCAGAAAAGGGACCTAATGGATTACGCTGCAGGCGAAATATATAGAACCCCACACGGGGTTTGGTCTGCTTTGGCCCTATATTCATCTTAGACGAATTTACTTGTCATATGGCTAAATGGAGAATTCGTTTAAGTGTGCATGTAAACACCGCAACATTGTGTAAGCGCACCTTTGCCTGACGCCCTCATACACCAGGGATGATAAATGAAGTTTTCGAAATTGTAATAAACGTCAGAAAAAATTTACCAAATCTAATAAAAATGTACCAACAAAAAATTTTAAACGCTTTCACAAAAACAATAAATGCTTCAAAGAAATATACATTTATTTAACGCCTTTTAAACAAACATCTTGTAAAAATATTAGGGCTGTGCGATTATTCGATTACTCGAGCAAGTTGGTTAATCAATTATTCGGTTAATCAATTACTCGAGTAATCAAGATTTTGATTACTCAAAACGATGATTAATCGAGTTACTTGAAATATGATTACTCAAAAAAAATAATTTTGCTCGTTAAAAGAGTTTCCTTTGGAAAATGCTTATTTTCTTTTTTACATTCTGTATATGAAAAAAATGTTTATGTTTAATTTTTGAAAACAGAAACGTTGTTTTCAAAGTATCAAGGAACTTCAACTACTTTATACTTATGTAAAGAGTTGAAATGTTGATTACTCATTTTACTCGAAATGTTGATTAATCATAAAGCAAATTACTCAAATATTTTTTTTTTGGTTAATCAAAAATCTTGATTACTCGAGTAACTGAACTTTTGAGTAATCATAATTTCCAATTAATCGAATAATTGAGTTATTTACTTTATGATTAATTAAAATTTTGAGTAATCAATTAATCGCACAGCCCTAAAAAATATACATATATGGGTATTTTCATACGTCGCATACGTGACAGTCGTACGTTTCAATGTGATACAATTGTGGTTGGCTATTTTCATGAAACTATTTTAATATGATTTGGAGCAATTCTAGTTATTTTTAGAGTTTTTTGAATTAATGCAACTTGTTTCAATTTTCTTTTACAATATGTAGAATATACTTCATATTTTGACTTCAGCGCCTATTCAGGGTGAATTTGTTGGAAATCTATGGCTTATTATGTTTCAACTACATAAGCCAAATTCGAACCAAATCGGACCATAAATACGGTTTTTCGAAATATCTCAACCTTGGCGCCACCTAGGAAGACCATTTTACGCAAACATGATTCTACTTACATGGCCAGTATATATTTTAAAAAGCAGACAAATCGGCCCATAAATACGTTAGATATAAGATTTTTATTTTTTTTTGTCGTGGTGGACCTTCCGATGGAAACACCCATAGGTATTAAAAGTAGAATAAAAATTAATCAAGCATTTCACTTTCTTTGAGATCGTAAGTCACATTTTGGTTTAAAGACCATGTATGTATTTTTATATCATGACAAAAACTTTGAGAAGGTTTTATATAATCTTTTGCTTTTATTAGGAATCGAGGGTTTTTAATTGTAATCTGTTTCTACATTTAGCTTTTATCAGATTCTGAACAGAAAAGTCACGTTCAATTTTTGCGGAGGAATGTGGAATAGACAATAAAGGTATTTTAAAAATGTTTGCAAGCATCGGGTCGTTCAGTTCGTTTTGAATTTATTTAATTCGTTCCCATAACTTGCATATATTTAAATTTTGTTAAGTTTCCGTGCTCCGGTAGAAAAGGTGTGAGGTAGAAAAAGACAAAACCATTTCTATAAGTACTCAGAATTGCCAACCTTGTAATGTAGTACAAATTTTGTCGAAGTTTGTATGGAGTAAAGAAGGAAGAAAGTATTTGTATAAATAGTAGAAGTTTTTAACCAGCGTAAATATAAAACCAATAGAAATACACACAGCGCTGCATTTCCAAAATGTACCAAAAAGGTCCATGTGGTGTCAATGTACTTTTTGGTTTCAAATTGTACCAAAAAAGCACAATTGTGGCAACTTTATCATCACTGTCATACACCCTAAATGCGATCTTGCACCTACCTCCGATTGACGAAATTGCTCGGGGCGGCCGTTAGTATAGCAGAAAGACTCAAAGAAACTAGTTCATAAATATTAAATATTAATATTACATAAGGATTTTCTTGGCCCTCCTATAACTGAAAACTGGTTTACGGACCCATGTTGAAGTTGCAAGATCATAGAAGAATATTACGCCCGCTTGGCAGAGATCTCACAGGTGGAAAAAAGACCATCGGTAAAACTCATGACATCGAAAGGGATTAGTATTCCATATGGTATCACAGCGCTACTATTCTTGGATTATGTGTGAGGAGGATTCTGCTCTTTATTCGTTTCAATTTAAACTAAAAATGTTTCTATTATCTCAGAACCAACATACTTTTGACCACATATGAACGACGTCTATTAAAAATACACAATACAAAGGCTAACATATGGTTTAATGAAAAATGTCTCGCACTGAATGTCACTCCAAAGTTTGCCCAAATGAAGCTAAGATCGAATACAGAGGCATGCAGGAAAACGATTAAGAAGGCAGAGAGAATATACTTAACATACGAATTGAAGAGTCTTTATGCCAAAAAGGAACAAACAAATGCAGAGTTGCTATCAATTCATTTAGAGTTAGCGGAGCTCATACCAATCGACTGCTTAATGGAACTATTTGATCAAATAAAAACGCGCATAAGGAAAGACATGGAGAAGAAGTACAACAAATTGAAAGGAAAGCTCGAAAAGTTACAAACGAATCAAAAAGGAATGAACAAACAACAACAGATAGAGAAATCT